GAGTCGAAGATTGAACGTCAGAGATCGTTGAGTTTGACGCGGCCGCTGAATATTCCAGAGAGGAAAATCGGGTAGTATTTTCGTGAATTTGGGTGTTGAGATTTACAAAGAATTGGAAAGATATAATTTTAATTTGGGTTATTGTGAGTGGATTGACTATTCTATGTTGAGGATTTATGTGATGCATATTGAGAAAGTGGTGAAGTTGTATGAGATACGGTCGAATATTGTGTCGAATGGAAATTGGAGGTTTATATTAAGAATTTGGAGAGAGCTTGTGTGTTGGATCAAGGTGGATCGTGGGATGGTTAATTACCGCTGATTGAGTCTCCTACAGTATCAGTTACCATTCTAGTATCAGAATGGCACTGTATGGGGCCTTATGAGATAGAAAGTGTGAGACTCTCTTGAGTGGGGATGAATCGAGTGGGAGTGTTATGCTCATATCTGAGAATTGTGCATGAGACGGCTGAGGAAATCAAGAGGATCCAAGAAAATATGTGTTTTGAGAGTTATGATGGTAATGGGTGTGGGTTGAGCTTCGAAGTCTCGGGAACACACTCGGTGTTTTGTTTATCTGTATCAGAGTGGCGCAGCGGAAGCGGGGGGAAAGTAGCATGTTAGACTACTTTGCCGCTATCGCTTATGGATGGCATGATGTGTTTCATGTGTTTTCATTGAGGGAGTATGTTGAATCAGATGGATGCTATGCAAGTGAGAAATAATTTGATGGTTGAGGCATTGCTAGATCGGATTGCCGAACGAGAAACAACTCTGGGGGAAAGAGAAACCTTTGGTGGGAGTGGCTTGGAGAGGTGCTGCAAGAGGCAGTGTGACTTGGGAATTGGAAAGCAGGATGCGGGAAGCGTATCTCGAGCTGTTTCCATCAAGTATTTTCGAGGACGAAAATAATTAAAGTGGGGGAGAGTTGTAACGCCCATTTTAATTATTTTTAGTTCAGTATTATTTTTATTCGCGGATGTGGTTGTGTGGGATTATTTGAGGATCAAAAGAAATCATAATATTAATATATAGTGATAAAATGTGATAATTAGTAGTAATTTTAATATTGCTATTAATTATTATTATTATTACTAATATTAATATATATGAGTAAAATATAATTATTGGATTTTTGGAAATTAAAAGGAATAAGATTATTATTTATGGAATTAAGAAAATGTGGACAATATTATTATTGGAATTATAGAATTAAAAGAATTATGAGAATTATATACTATTTGGATTAAAGATGTATTTTGGGGTATTAAGGGTGCTATTGGTATTTGGAAGAATTAGAATTGGAAGGAAGAGAAAGAACATGAGGAAGGGAGCGTAGAACGCACGGTTGGAAAGAACAAGCAAGCCAAGAGCAAGTTGAACAAGAAGGAGCTTGATCGGGAGATTCTCGTGTGGGATTGTGGAGCTTCATCAACATCAGAACTTCAATTGAGGTAAGGGGGAGAGAATTTAACGGTTAAATGGTTTTACATGAGAATTGGTAAAAAAAGGGGGGAAATCCCTAATCCCCATAGATTATCAATAGTTTGATGTTAAATGCATGTTATTGTTGCTATGATTATGTTGTTGGAATGTGTTAATTCGTTTGCATGTGGTTGTGCGGAGTGTTTGAGTGCATTGAGGTTTTTCGGGTAAATTCGAAGTTGAGCCGGAAGTTGGTTATTTGAGCAGAGTTGATAATTTGTCGGGTAGAATCGGGAATAGACCTTGTAATTGAGTCGTAGTATGTTATTTGGTTGCGAGTGGATGTTAGACTCGATTTAATCGGGCGGAATCGGTAATGGATGTTGTTTCTGCTGTGCAGAATTTTTTTGAGTACGCAGGTATTCGCTGGGCGAATGAGGGGCGAGCCTTCGCCAGGCTTCGCCGGGCGAACTAGCCAGCGAGTGCTGGCAGAAGCTACTATCTGGCTTCGCCAAAAGTTTCTCCAGGCGAGTTCCAGCGAGTGTTCGCTGCGGGGCTTCGCCAGGCGAATGGCCAGCGAGTGTTCGCTGCGGGGCTTTGCCAGGCGAATGTGTCAGCGAGCTCGATAGCAGTTTGTGTTTCTACTGCTGTTCTATTGGCTTTCCTTGTGGTTTTTGGCCCTTGTTGGTCATGTTTGATGTTGGGCGTGATCGTGAGCCGTGGTGAGTGTATGTGTGGTGTAGGAGGTGAATTCCTTGATATTCCCTTAATTTGGGTGATTGCGTCGGTGTATGTTATGATTCATGTATGTGGTGATATAAGGGCGCTGAGTGCGATCGGATTGATGTGTTGTGATGATAGCTGGGTGCTGAGAGTGTGTTGAGGGTTATAAGGGTCGTGTGGCCGGCGTTTATCGCATTTGAAATAATCGGTGGATTATGTGTTAAGTTTAGATAAGTATGGATGTGTATGTGATATGTATGCACTATGTGCTAGGTGTGGTGATGTGTTGTGAGATGGATGTGGATCCGTAGGATCGATACGCTTGTTATGCGTTGCGTTTATACGCTGTGGTATGAGGATTGGATCAGTAGGATCTTTACGCCTTGTGCGCGTGGTATTGATGTGTTGCGTGAGATATGTGGATCAGTAGGATCGTTGCGCCTTGAGTGTGTTGTGGTGATATGTTGTGATGAGAGGATCCGTAGGATCGATACGCTTTACATGCGTCGTGTTTATGTGTTGTTGTGACGATTGGGTCAGTAGGACCGGTATGTCTTATGTGCATGATGTGTGATATGTTGCGTGGTGATTTGATCAGTAGGATCGATGCACTTTGTGTGGTTGTGTATGTATGCATTTTATGATGCGATGGACCAGTGGGGTCGTGTGCACTGTGTGTGTTGTGTGTTTATGCATAGTGTCTTGCATAGCGTGTGGACGTGAGGTATGATGTACTCACGTGCTCCAGTGGGGAGCGTGGACGGGATTTGGATCGTTGCTCGGATGATGTGTATGCGACTACCCGTGTCCCAAGTGGGGGACGTTGATGATGTGCTCCATGTGTGGAGGGTGATGGCCCAGTGACCATCGGAGATGTGCTCCCTGTGAGGAGGGTGATGGCCAGGTGTCCATCGGTGTGTGTGCTCCTGTATGGTGGGTGATGGCCAGGTGTCCATCGGTGCATGTACTCCTGTGTAGAGGGTTGATGGCCAAGTGCCCATCGTTGATGTGTGCTCCTTTGTGGAGGGTTGATGGCCCAGTGTCCATCGTTGTTGTGAGTCGGTACCGCATATTGTTGAGTCAAGTGCATGTGTTGCATTGTGGTTTGTGTGAATTGTGGATATTGATGATGGGACAGTAGGCCCGGATGTGTTGCATTTGTGGTATGCATAGTGTGTTGACATGGGACAGTAGGTCCAGATATGTTGTATGTGAAATAATGATTTATTGTTTCTGCCTTTCATTTCATGTACCATTATACCATTATTATTTGATCGTGATTCTCACCCCTTTGCTGTTGTTGTGGTCTGTGCTTCTTCGGAAGTACAGATAATCCAGGTGTTTAACTAGCTTGGATTGTGGCGTCATCGTAGGACTGCTCTGATACGTAACACCGGGGCTTTTTGGGAGTCTTATTGTTTTATTGTTGATATGTGTGCCCCTGTGGCGTATCTGACTTTTGTGAGACGTGTGATGACATTATGTATGTTTTGGGCAGATGGTCGATTGTTATATATAACGATGTTGATGACATGGATGATGTATATTTATCGTCTTGTGTTATGACAGACTTCTTTTTCCGCTGAAATTTTATTGGAAATCAGTTTTGAGACGATTTGTGGAATTATGTTGAAAATTGTGACATCCCGTTGTGGGGAAAACTCTGATGTGTGTTTATTTTAATTGTTTTATTCTATTTTGGGGAAACGGGGTGTTACATGGGCTAGTCATGATCCTGAAGTTTTGAGATGAAGCTTTGATTCTCTGCTCGGAGGAACGGGGAAGATTAGATTCCCACAAACGGCGTCACTGTTCTGACCTGATCAGAAGGAAGTCAGTGACCTGCCACGCGTCGTTGATTTGCCGCCTGTTCACCGGAGGTATGGAGGAGGAGGGGGTGTACCTGCAAGACACTCTGATGCCAAAGTGAAAGAGTGGACCAAAGTGAAGCAAATACAGAAGAGAGGTTAAGAAGTGAATATCTGACCCTTTTGTGAAAGAGGGTATTTATAGAGAGGCCCTAGCGCAGGGCCAACGTTCACTTGTGTTGGGCTGGTTTGTCAGGCCCAACCCAGGTGACTGCTAGGGCTTATGTGGCGTAATGAAGGCCAGCACGTGGTCTTCGCCCTAATTCAACCGTCCCGTGATCTCCGGAAGGTGGGTTGACCAGCTATTTCGGAAGTGGATAGTTGGATGATCACGTGTCCTCGCGGAGGGGGCACGTGGAGAACGTGTGGAGAACACATTGTTCTGCCCGACGGGGAGAGACTCCTGCCCGACGGGAGAGGTGCTCTGCCTGGCGAGGGCAGTGTCTGGTCGACAGAGACCCTGTGCCCGACGTCGCCCTGTTGGACTGGTTTGGAGCCTTCCACATATATCGTTGGGCTGAACCTGTCTGGTCAAACTTAAACCCAGTCCAGAACAATTATATTTTTTTAATACATGTGAATAATAAAAAATGATTTATAATATATAACAGTCTAGTAAAGTAAACTGCACAAGTTTTATAGCAAGGTATGCCGACATAGCGAATCTTTGTTAATTTGGACGAAACTGTCTGTATCTAAGATGTTTATATAACAAGTTATATGGTGGTCCACCTTGAATTAGCATTTCAATATCTTCTGAAACTCCAACTATTACCGACATTGGCTCTTGTATATATATGGTGGAAATAAGTAACTATCTTCTCCAATCAACATCCATCCAAATTCATCCCAAGACTTTTAAAAACTAAGTCTTCCATCTTGCCAAATGCTAGCAGTTCCCACCAATACTGCCGTGATGTAATGTGATATCTTCTCATGCATTTAAATTGTCAGTATTTTCCACTTTCTATCCGAAAACCAAAAATGGCATCCTCAACCCTTGTTGTGGTTGTAGTGTTACTAATACTAATAATATTCTCGTCCAATAAAGTGTATGGTGATGAACAACAACTACAACAAGAGTCATGTTCTACAAGGTGCGGTGTCCATAACATCAGCCCTCCTTTCCGATTGAAAAACAGTCGACGAAAATGTGGTGACAAAAGGTACAACTTATCATGTGAGGACAACAACCAATTGATTATGTACAATGGATCATATGGAAAATACTATGTACAATCAATTCATTACAACAACTTCACCATACGAATATTGGATTTCAATCTTCGTTCTAATAATTCCCTCCCTCCTTATTATTCTCTAGGACGCTATAATTTCAGTTCTGAATTTCAATCACCCTATCTTTTCTATCAATACAAAAACTTTTCTTACACAGATATATTAACAAAGTCTATGATATATGTGACTTGTCTGAATCCGGTGGAACATTCATCTGGTTATATGTACGGTCCTAACTGCATGAATAGTTCTTCGCATTTACGGTACGGGAATTCTTTCTATGTTAGTGGCTACAACAAAACTCTTTCACAATTGAAGCTGGGAGACAAATGTCGTATAGAATTGATGTTTCTCACATCTTCTTGGCAAGTTAAAGGTGGAAACAACAACAACAACATTTCTTGCAAGAACATTCGTCGCATGATGTTTGATGGAATTGAACTTTCTTGGATTAACAGTCTTTGTAAAGATATATGGTCTGTCGAGTTCGACCAATATAACCAGCCTCGCTGTGTATCTTCAGGTTTGCACTAAACAACTCCACTTTTCTCAGAGTAATTTATGTTTTTCTTTTAATCAAAATATAGTCTTAAAAAATAAAATTGTCGGAGCAATAAATTGTATAAAAAAATGTTTAAAGAAGACAGACGAATGTTGGATAATATAAATTTTGTTACAACCTCTGTGAACATGCCAGCTAGGTTGTCATCAATATATTGTGTCGATATGTTTCATCCAAGTATGATGAACCTGATTCGGAATCAAATGAATTATACTTTGACTATCACAATTCAAATTCACTCTTTCTTAACGACCAAGTTATTTAGAAGATCTCTCAACCACAATGTGTCCTTCATTACTTATGGCATAATCATGTACTCGACCTTTGTATTGTCAATGTAGACGGTAACATCGTCAGCATTTTGTAATTTAATGAAACCGCTTATCTGACATGTGTCTCCACTTAAATGCAAACTCGTGTTAATGATAACTTTATAAGTACGTTTCATTATATTTCATTGGAATCAACCATTTCCTTTTGTGCAAATCTATTAGCCACTAGTCTAGCCATAAACCTTGTATCACCTAATTTAGTATCATATTCTTTTCATTCATAGACCCACTTATAACCAATAACTTACATTCCCATAAGCAATGAGACCACCTCTCATGTCTTGTTCTTACAGAGAATTTGTATATTTTTCTCCATATCTTTGATAAGTTGTTTAAAGGTGACTGACTCTTCCTCCTTCACCAAGAATGCATACTCCACCAAGTGTGTCTGTCCATAATAAGATATCTTAATGATCTAATGAGTCTTTTATACTAAGTTGGATGGACTTCATCTTCTTATGAGTCCTTTGTCAACTGTAATCTTGTTTCAACTGACATTAAATTTGCATTGCATTCTTCCATCTCAAATCTGTTGAGTATCCCACTTGCATATCTTCTTTGTGCATCATCAAACTTCTGCTACCCTGATAGAATTCGATACCAAGGAAATATGAAATGTTTCCCAGATCAGACATTTTTCATTCCTTGCTCATATCACATTTGAAGTCTTCGATTTCTTTCTTGCAGTTACCTGTTATCAACAGGTCATCGACATAAAGACACTGTATAAGCAGTTAACTCTTGCTTTTTCTGACTTATACTCCATACTCAATTGTTCACTTTACAAATTATTTTTCTCTTAGGAAACTATCTAACTTTTTATTCCAAACTCTTGGAGCTAGTTTGAGTCCATAATGGGGTTTATGTAGCATGTATACCTTACTTTCTTAATCTTGCTTCACAAAATCAATAGCTTGTGTTACATAAACCTCTCCATCTAGAGGGTCATTCAATAATTCACATTTCACATTCATCTAACACATATACTAGTTGTTTATGTTTGCTAGATCAACAAATAACCTAATTGTTTTTGTTCTGGCCTGGGCCCCGGCCTGACCGGAAAGGCCCAACCCACATACACTTGGGAGAAGGCTCAAAGGAGTCTTCCTCATCTGTGTCGAGCACAAGACTCCCGTCGACCAAACACTGCCCCGTCGGGCAGAACCTTCCCTCCATCGACCAGACACTGCCCCCGTCGGGTAGAACCTACCATCCGCGGGCAGGACCTTCTCTCCCTCCGCGGGCAGGACCTTACCCCTGACCTTACCCTCTGCCGGCAGGACCTTCTCTCCCTCCGCGGGCAGGACCTTACCCCTCCGTCGGCAGGACCTTCTCTCCCTCCGCGGGTAGGATCTTACCCCTCCGCGGGCAGGACCTTACCCTCCGCGGGCAGAACCTTCTCCCCTTCCGCGGGCAGGACCTTCTCTCCCTCCGCGGGCAGGACCTTACCTCTCCACGGGCAGGACCTTACCCTCCGCGGGCAGGACCTTCTCTCCCTCCGCGGGCAGGACCTTACCCCTCCGCGGGCAGGACCTTCTCTCCCTCCGCAGGCAGGACCTTACCCCTCCGTGGGCATGACCCTAGCCTCCGTGGGCAGGACCTTACCCTCTGCGGGCAGGACCTTACCCTCTGCGGGCAGGACCTTCTCCCCCTCCACGGGCAGGACCTTACCCTCTGCGGGAAGGTCCTTCTCCCCCTCCGTGGGCAGGACCTTATCCCTCTGCAGGCAGGACCTTCTCCTTGTCGGGCAGAACAACGTGTCCTTCACACGTTCTCCACGTGCCCCCCTCCGCGGGGACATGTCACCGACCAACTGCCCACCTCCGAAAGAGCAGGTCAAACCCACTTTCCGGAGATCACGTGACAGTTGGACTAGGGCGAAGACCACGTACTGGTCTTCACTACCCCACGTAAGCCCTAGCAGTCACCTAGGTTGGGCCTGACAATCCAGCCCAACACAAGTGACCGTTGGCCCAGCGCTGAGGTCTCTCTATAAATACCCTCTTCCACAAGAGGGTCAGGGAATTCACTTCTTACCCCTTTTCTATACTTGTGACCACTCTGCCCATATACTTACTTTGGCATCGGAGTGTCTTGCAGGTACACCCCCTCCTCCTCCTCATCACCGGTGAACAGGCAGCAGTCCAATAGCGCGTGGCCAGCTCGTGATCCCCTCCTGATCAGATCAGATCAGTTTAGATTCTAGCAATTGGTGCAAAGACTTCGTCAAAATTGATTCATTCTCTATGAAAAAATCCTTTGGATACAAGTCTTGCTTTGTGTCGTGTTGCTTCTCCTTTTGGATTCAACTTTAATTTGTAAATCCATTTCATATCAATTGTGTTCTAGCCTTGTGGCAGCTTGACTAGTGACTAAGTATTTGTTAACTTCAATGGACTTCAGTTCTTCATTCATCGCCTGCATCCATTTCTCTGTCAGCTTTACTAGCTGGTTCATCACATATGATTCTCACTAAATCCTTCTTGATATTTTCATTCTAGTCTTATTCCTTAAGCTCATCTATGATCACAACTTGCTTGTTCAAGGGATCAAACACTTTGTATCCAACAGTCGAGTGATATCCTATTAGGATCGTCTAGCTTGACTTGTTATCAAGTTTTCTTATAAACTCGCCAGGAACATGTCTATGTGATATGAATCCAAACACCTTTAGATGACTTAAGTTAGGCTTGACACTAGACCAACATTTTTCTGGTGTGATTCCTTTTATCTTTTTGGTCGGACATCTATCCAAGATGTATGTTGCAGTCGACACAGCCTCACCCCATAACTCATTAGGTAAGTGCTTCTGTCTTAGCATACTCCTCACCATGTTCATGATGGTTCTATTATTCCTTTCTACATTTATATTTTGTTGTGGAGTGTAGGGTGACACAACCTCATGCACAGTCTATTCTTTCTCATATAATGCATTGAAATTTTTTGATACATATTCTCCACCACCATCAGTCCTCAGAGTCTTAAGCCTTCAACCACTTTGTCTCTCCACCATAGATTTAAATGTTGTGAACACCTTAAGTACATCACTTTTCTTCTTAATTATGTATGTGCAAATTTTTTGACTGAAGTCTTCTATGAATATGACAAAGTATCTATTACCTCTAATCGAATATACTTGGATAGGACCACAGACATTAGAGTATATCACTTCATGAATTGCCTTCAACTTACTTCCTACATCTTTGCTGAAGTTGTTTTTGTGTTGTTTTGCCTGCACACATTCTTCACACGCTTCAATTGGAATGTAGGTTTCTAGTAATCTTGAAACCATATTTCTTCTCTTCAAATTCCTGATGTCTTTGAAGTTGAGATGGCCAAGTTTGTAATGATATAACCATCAACTCTGCTACTTACAGTTTCCAGACACTTGTGTTCCATCACATTAACTTAAATCTTAAAAGTTTTATTCTGACGCATATGTGCCTTCAAGATTAACCTACCACCTGATTCGAGAACTCTCGTCATCTTATCTTCAATCAGCACTTTGTAATTATTCTCAATCAATTGCTCTGTACTGGGAAAATTGATTTTCATGTCTGGTATGTAACATTGGAAATTAATGATATTTTTCCATCTTTCCTCATGATCATAACATCACCAATACCTTCAGCAGCCAGGGTATTTTCATTTGTGAATTTCACCTTGTTCTTCATCGAGTAACTCATGTTGACAAAACAATATTTCCTTCCAGTCATGTGTGATGAGCAGCCTGAGTCTAAGTACCATTGGTCCTTGAACCTTTCTTCATCTTTCGTAGTGACCATCAGCAACATCTCTTCTTCTTCTTCCTGTCTTACAAGTCTTTCATCAGCTTCTTGATTTTCTTTCTTAACTCCTTGACATTAAACTTGCCTAATGTCCATACTTCTGACAATTATAACATTGAATATGGATTTTGTCATATTTTCTTCTGTCGCCTTTTCCTCTACCTGCACCACCACCTCTGTGATTGCTTTGGTTTAAGGATTGTCTCTGATTTGATGAACTACCTTCTTATTGGTTTCCTCTACCAATTGAATTGTTGTAACCTCGTCTATCTTTGTTACTATTCCATATTCCTTTTTCTTTTTTTTCTTTAGTTGGATGCACTGGCAGAGCTACATCACTATTTGTCTTGCTTGCAGATCTTTCACCCATACTTTGTTAATGAGATTCAAGTGTCCATTGAAGTTCTTCTTTTTTCATGCTTGACAAATCCTTTGATTCTTCTATGACTACTACCACATGATTGAAATTTAGAAGTAATCACCTCGAGATCTTTGTGACTACTGATCTTGCTGTCAATACTTCTCCACAAATCTTGATTTGATTCACCAGTCTCGTTACTCTGGTGAAGAAATCAGTGGCATTTTCACTTTCTTCCATCTGAAGCAACTCATACATTCTTTTGTGAGTTTGTAACCTCACCTTTTTCAGCTTCCCAGCACACCCAAATGATTTCTCCAGGATGTCTCATGCTTCCTTTGTTGATTCTACATCACCAACTTTCTCAAAGTTGTCTGGATCAACGAATTGATAGATTAAACAGAGAGCTTTATAATCTTTCTTCCTCGAGTCTTTGTGTGCAGCCTTTTGTTCACCCGTAGCATCTTCTCCAATTGGTGTCACTTCATTCTTCACAAGATGCCAAATATCTTGATAACAAAAGACAACCTTCATCTGCTTACACCAATTCTCATAATTCTTACCATAAAAGATTGGAAGATTTGCTCGAAAATACTCATTCGGATGAAAAGTCATTGTTCTATGCTTCCCAAAAATTACAGCTAGTGCTCTAGATACTAGATGTTGGTTTTAACCCCATTCTTAGAGATAATTTGAATCAATCTTGATTGAATTATAATCAATATTTCTGATTGATCGTTCCTCTCATTCCTAACTTTTCATTCAAGTGATTCATTCACTCCTTGGTTTCAAGATGATTTCTGTGCACAATAATTTGAGAAGAAAATAAATATGTGAAAGTAAATTGAAAAGAAAAGAGAAATTAGGGGTTAGAAGAATGGGAAAGAAGATGGATTAAATTTTGCACGGTTTCTTTTTGTGTTTAATCATGTTTTGTAATATATCATTATTTCCACAGTAGATAAATTTGTAGTTTGTTTATTAATCATGTTTTGTGTATGTTCTTGCAGTATCCGGAAAAATTCTTATTATCACATCTATCTTCATTTTCATAGGTACGTCCTCATATTCTCACAAAGTGTGAGACTTAGAATAATGTTTATTAAAAATATATTTATTCATTTTTTAGTAAATGAAATTAATACAGAGTATTTTAATTAGTTTTTCTTGTTTAAACCATCCAATTCACATTTTTATTTTATTTTTAGTTCTTACTTATGGACTACACAAACAAATTTGAATGGTTAAGTTATTATAATAATCTTTTTCCCATTTCCGATTTTTTATAGGTCAGCTTGTTTTGGTTTACATTGTCAAATTTGTTTTTGGAATACCATGTATTATTTTACTATTGATATGGAAATGCCGAGGAAAACATTTATCTATGTACGATGACATCGAAGGTTTTTTACGTAGTAACAATAACATCATACCATTGAGGTACTCTTACAAAGAAATAAAAAAGATAACTAAACAATTTAAGACAAAACTAGGGAAAGGAGGTTATGGATCTGTTTTCAAAGGACAACTTCAGAGTGGTCGTTTTGTAGCTGTCAAATTATTGGACAAAACCAAGTCCAACGGTCAAGATTTTGTCAACGAAGTTGTTACCATTGGTAGGATTCACCATGTTAATGTGGTACAACTTATTGGTTTTTGTATAGAAGGATCAGAACGTGCTCTTATATATGAATTCATGCCAAATGGGTCACTTGAAAAATACATATTTTCTCACATTGAAGAGAGTTATTCCTTGACTTGTGAAAAATTATATTCCATTTCTTTGGGAGTGGCTCGAGGCATTGAGTACTTGCATAATGGATGTAATATGAAAATTTTACATTTTGACATAAAGCCTCATAACATCCTTCTTGATGAGAATTTTAATCCAAAAGTTTCAGATTTTGGATTGGCAAGACTTTGTCCTACAGATAACAGTATTGTGTCATTAACCGCTGTACGAGGAACCATTGGATATATGGCCCCTGAACTATTCTATAGAAATGTTGGAACAATATCTTACAAAGCTGATGTTTATAGTTTTGGGATGTTGTTAATGGAGATAGCAAGTAGAAGGAAGAACTTGAATTCACTGGTTGAGCAATCCAGCCAACTTTATTTTCCTTTTTGGGTTTATGATCGATTACATGATGGAAGAGAAGTTACAATTGAGAATGACACCAATCAAGAAATGAAATTGGCAAAGAAAATGATGATTGTGGCTTTGTGGTGTATCCAGACAAAACCTGGTGATCGTCCTTCGATGGATAAAGTGATTGAGATGCTTGAAGAAGAAGATGAGGATTTGCAAATGCCTAATAAACCATACTTTTATGCGCAAGATCTCCCTGATGATGAGCATGTTAGAGATAATAGTACTAGCGGTTCATGGTCTTCCTCTAGTACATTAGTAACTAATTCAAAGCAACTGGCCTAATATTGTTGCACTTCTACAATGTGTAATTCTTCATTTACATCTAACTTTTTTATTAATAAGAAATGGAGATGTATTTATACATATAGATTAATTGTTATGCCTGTTAATATAAAAAGTTTTATATTATTAATGCGTCACAACTATTCGTTTGTATTACTTTTTAAGTAGTTAAAAAAAAGTCAGATTTTTAAAATAAATCAGCGGTTGTAATTAACTGATAGTATAAAAAAAATTTACATTGTCGGATATACAATTAAATTCTTATAGATATGTAAATGTTCCTCATACCCACGTATGTTCTAAGACAGACAAGCTAACGAAACCGAATTTACTGATATGCAGAACTTATTGAGCAGGCAGGAGCCAGACTTGAGAAGAGAAGATAAATTAACTTGGTTGATAGACAAAGGTAACTCCTATAGTGTTAAACTTGTTTATGGTTATCAAACCATGCTCAAATTTAGACAAGAAGATTCTCTAGATGTCGACAAGATAAAGGCAATTGTTGCCGCCTGGAAGTTAAAACTACCGGCAAAAATTTTATGCTTCGGATGGAGGTTCTTATGGAACAGGATCGCTACTAAAGACCAACTTTTAAAGCGATGGATCCCGGAGGTGAACAATACTTGTTGTTTCTGTCAAGCCTCAGAAGAAGATATTGCGCATTCTTTCTTTGAATGCAGCAGTGCGGCGGCAGTGTGGGAGAGGGTCAGTGACTAGAGCGGAAACATCGGTACGTATGTAAGAGATTACTGTAAATACTTTTCTAACTGGTGTGGTTTAAAACCTAACAAAAGGGAAATTTGAAATTCAGTTCCATTTGAATAACCGTTGTTTAGTGTTTGTGGAGAGCTAGGAACAATTTACTCCGCAAGTAACCTTTCATTCTCCTCTCATAATTTAAATATTAAAAATTTACATTACTTTTTAAAAAAACAAAATTGTAAATATTTTAAAAAAATTACAAAGAAAATATTATCTATCTTAAAAGCATTTTTTAAAAATAAAATAAAAAAGAGTTATGCTTTTTAAAATATACTATATGAATTGGTTTTAAAAATGGAAAAATATTCATCTAACAAAAATTTTTATTTTAAAAAATTCTCATTTTATTTGACATGTGATTTTAATATTTGACGTGTGATTTTAAAAGCAAATATTTGACGTGTGATTCTAATATTTGATGTGTGATTCACACAAAAAATTCAAAAGTTTATTAATTCTTTTAAAAACCGGTCTCATTTTAATGTTTTTAAATATTTCTCTCTCCAACATGGTAATTAAAATAGAAGTGGATCCGACGGTTAAATCGGTCAGATCGGAAACCAAAAGCCTAATCGATTTGTTTGAACCTTAAAACTGACATACAAAAGAACTAGAATTTAAACTGGAAAACCAAATTGAAAACCGGTCAAAAACAAAAAGACCAAAGGTTTAGACGGTTTTTAAGATCAAATTGGATTTATTTATTTTTATAAAATATGATAAAGGATTTCGTTTTGAATCAAGATATTGTTTGATTTAATTTCCTTCTTCTTTCTCTAATACACAATAGTGTAGGGAAAGTAATTAAAAAAATCAAAGAAAAAATTATTCTGTCGTTCTCTATGCCGATGAATGAAAACGGATTTTATATAATAATACAAAATACAAAATAGATAGCAGCATATTAACCTAATACTTTTAATTTTTAAATTTTTTCTACCTTGTTGTGTAAAATTTAAAATTAATTACTTTATTATAGAGTAAATTGCATTTTTTTAACAAAAAAATAGAGATTCCAAAATTTTTAAATACTTTTATGTTATTTATTTATTGATAATTTTTAAATATTTTGAATATAAATTAAAAAAAAAACTATAGTGTTACCTATAAATTTAAATATTTTATATTTCAAAAAAATATATTTTTTTATTTATATCTGATTCAACCTCGATTTAATCTTAAAACCTTGAATCTATAAATATATATTAGTTCAATGTCTGGTGTGATTTTGTGTACCTTCCTCTCCAAATAGAATTTAAGTTCAAAACTCTCTGTTTATGGAAGCAAAGCAAAGTGACATCAAAGTTGTAATCACAATTATTTTAACTACACTTTACAACAAGTAGTGTAAGACATGATACCATCTCAATCTTCGTCTTGTTTCTTATTAAAAGTTGAAGTTATTATGCCTCATGAGGTTGATCTTTTGTTGAATATCTATATTGATTTATATGAGAGTCCAAAAGGAATTCCACCATTCAGACCCGAGTTTGATCATCAATTACCATTAAAAGAAATTACCACTTCTTTTCATATCATATCACATTTGTACTCTTCAATCCACAAGGATATAGTGGATGGTTTAGTATATGAGATGTTGGAAAAAGATTGGATTCAACATAGTAACAATCAATTTGCTTCACCAGTGGTTCTTGTTTAGAAAAAAAGGTGGCAAATGGATGCTTTATGTTGATTATAGAAGGTTGGATCAAGCTACAATCATTGACAAATGTCCTATTCCATTTATAAAATTTTGAGTTACAAATGTTTTAATCAAGACTTAAAGAAGTCTAATTAATATTAAATAAGTTTGTGGTTAAAAATATAAACATTATGAAAGATAAAATTATTGTGTAAATACCATAAATCAATATTTTATTTAATGAAAAGTCAAATTAAAATATTAAAAACTACAAAATAATCTTAGAATTATTTATATAGGTAATAATTCTCATTTGTAAAGTGGATAAAAAAACATGGTTTATCATGATCCTCTCTTCATCCACGTCATGCAAAACAACAAGTTATGTCAATATATGAGATACAAAACAAGCGCTTTATAGTTTATATTATCAAGATTCTTGGCCCAAAACAAGAAGTATTTAATGTGTAAGTTTTCATTTATTTATTAATATTTTTCTATTTCATAAAGAAATATTTAATGTGTAAGTTTTTTGTTTGATGTCTACGTCACAAACTGGTTTCAAAACCGTCATATTAATTGTGTGTGCGCGTGCGCACTAAATTTTTAGTAACAGTTTTTTCAAAATGATTGTTTAAAATATTTACTTATTACTAAACTGATTTCTTAAATGGTTTGGATAGTCACCAAACTACCATCCCAGCCTTACGTGACAATGATGATTTAAAAGAATACGACTCCACAGCTTCAACGCCAAAAGTGCAGCGAAAAAAATTGGTTAAAAGAAGGTCAGCAACCGAGAGAAAATCCTTCAAGTCGAAAGTTACTCTGGGCACAACATCAGCCCCTCCCAAATCCAATTTTACAAAAGTGTGGAAGAATGCGGGAAGAAAATCAGTACAATAGGATTAAGAAGACTATGTTCTGTCAGCTTGAAGAAGCGATTGACGTCAATTTTTACCTTAACTTTCATCCATCAGGTCATATTGGATATTAAGGTTGCGATTTTTGATTTGATATTCCTCAATAAGTATTAACTAATTATTTTAAATAAAACCTAATACTCTATATATTATATCTTTATTACTTACTAAATTTTTTCTTATCATATGTATTTAATGATAGCGGATGTCGATGACTTTCAGACCCACCCCTCAGATGAATCTTAATTCAATATGTGTTTACCTTGTCGCATACATCTTTATGCGTGATGATGAGCAAATATATGAGTATGTTTTTTAACATAAATGCTAAAACAAAATTCTAAATTCATTTATCAAATTTAATTTGACTATACATCTATTCTTTGTAGTAGTGAGGTTCTAGTCAAAACTACATCAAATGTAGTTAGGGACAGGACATCGATGAAGTCTCTGATGCCTTATTGTCCTGTTGACCAAGAGGTTATATTTATATGATTTGAATTTTAAAAAAAATATATTAATGTAAAATTTTAATCTAATGTCATTTTCATTTGACAATATAGATTCTTAATCTAGTTGTTTCCCGACAAATTTGGTGTTTAAGCATCATAGGAAATACAAAGTATATTTGGTATATGCCTACGGAGTTTGCGGTGATTACCACTACTAATACTACTCTTACATTCACATTCATTAAGTATTATTTATTAACTTAAACTACATTTTTAAGCAATATGCGCTGGACGGACAACATTCAGTTGACTATGTGAGGGAAATTTATCAAGCCAACTTCATAACAACAAAATCGTTTGTTTTCAAGGTGATTTTCTGTTACTTTAAGAAAATATTTGTTACATTAAAAATTGAAAATTTTGTTCATACAAATTAATATTTTTTATAGATTTTTATTTCTATGAATGATGAAGAAAATCACAGGTATCTGCTTATTGTTGGTTTTATTAAACAAACACTGATTTGGTTGGACCTTTTGCCTAATGTCGATAGACATCATATGAGACGCCATCATATTTTAAAAATGGTATGCATGTTATCTATAATTTGTTTTACTTTCCAAACTATTGTTTGGCTCTATATTTTATTCAAGCTTAGTATTTACTATTGTGACAGACATTATTTCTTGAAGAAATTCTGCTTCATGATTCTTTCGGTGAACTCTGTCCATATTTTTCTGACAATTTGGTCACAAACTTCTACATTTTTCAACCAAGGTGCCTCCCAAAGCAGCGAACCAGATCGTAAGTATTCTCAACCCTTACTCTATTTTTTTATTGAAATTACCTATTAATGTGACACTAATGCATTTAAGTGACTGAACACAGAAATGATTGTGGAGTGTGGGTGGCTAAATGGATGATTTAGTGTCCATTCAGGACTGATTACGAAGCCATAAGTGTAAGTTGAATTAATGTGATCATTATTTCTTAAACATTTCCCTCTAATTATATTTTCATTTTTTCCTAAATGTTTATAATTATATGCAGGTTGTGATTTCTACAAGGATGAAATTTGCATTTTATCTAGTTCAATCATCTAATAATGTTTTGTTGAACGAAGTTGTATCAAAGGCTACAAATTATTGGGATGTTCAGGAGAAGAAGAGGAAGGTGTTGGTGAAAGTATGAAGTTTTTATGAAGTATGTTGTGAAAAA